AGAGGCGGCGAACAGAGCCACTTCCGCTTCCGCTCACCCAGGCGCACGCCGTGTGACGTCACAGTTCCCGCCCACCACTCTAGGCGGTCCTGCGGCTGGCTGTTCTGAAGCTGACGCAGCAGGCGACCTCTAGTTGACTGTGGGCTGCTTAGGTGTAGACTGCAAGGCTGAGGAGAGCTGTGAGAGATTATAGCCGCCGTCAACTCGCGGTCCAACCCCCGCCCGAGTGGGGACGCAGAGCGTCCAAGACTCTGCACACTTCAACTGGGTGCACAGACTTTGCTTGGGGACTCACTGGTCAGACACTTATTCACCACCCGTCTCGTGAGAGTTTTTTTTTTTTTTTTTAAGATTTTATTTATTTATTATGTATAAAACATTCTGCTTCCATGTATATCTGCATACCAGAAGAGGGCACCAGATCTCATAACGAATGGTTGTGAGCCACCATGTGGTTGCTGGGAATTGAACTCAGGACCTCTGGAAGATCAGACGGTGCTTTTAACCTCTGAGCCATCTCTCCAGACCCTCCTGACAGTTTTTATTCTTTGTAGTTCCCTTACTCAGCCTTTTAAGGGTTGTAGTGGATTTGGTGAGTATCCCACCCACCCACTCTGAAGGTATAACATGCTAAAGTCACAACGAGTGAAGCACACTTGGAATTCAACAGTCATTTATTTCATTCATATTTGCCAACTACTGGCCTAGGACCTAGGGATACAAAGTAGTATAAGATTCTGGCTCACTAGCAACAACAGTCTGAGAAAGGAAGGCAAACAAACTGGCAATTTCAATACTGTATGGTTGTTTCCCAGCTACATGTAGGAACAGTGCAAGGAAGAAAGGGAGCTAACATCAGCTGCCTAATTCCAAGTGTCAGATATTACCAACGTTTATTCCCTGATTTTGAAGGTAGGTTTTGATGTCCCTGACTTTTACTCAGTAATCTTTGAAGAGTTTGTACAAGTAAAAACACTCCTTGATCTGGAAGATGACTTGCCCATGGATAGAAAGTCAAGGATGTTGAGGCGCTTTGGGAGTGGCTCCCCTCCCCAAGTGCTTCCTGCAGTTTAGAGGAAAACAACATGGGCTCAAAGCTAATGCAGTAGCAGTGGAGATGAGGGGTGTGTGCGAGTGTGTGATTTTTGAGGCCAGTCTTACTATGTAACCCTGACTTGCCTGGAACTCTCTATGTAGATGAGGATAGCCTCAAACTCACAGAGACTTGCCTGCCTCTACCCCTGAGGGCTAGGATTAAAGGTGAGCACCACCACACCAGCTGACAAAGACGTATTTGAAAGGTAAAGTCAGTAAAACTTGTTGGTTGAAGTTGTTAAGGAGGTGAAAAAAATGAGAGTTAAGGGTTTTAGGTTTTGAAAGAGGCATTGAATTATATACTAAGAAATGAAGTAGTTGAGGTTTGGGTAGGAGGGAAATGAAGTATTGAGGTATCTTACATTTGAGGTATCAATCACTGTGGATATAGATGTCAGTGATGTGTTTTAGGGATGATGAATGAAATAAGAGCCAAAAAATTAAGGCTGGAGCAATGAAGAACACTGAATTCCAGGAGTTAGAAGAAAAGGAGGCTAGCTGGTATGGTTAGAGTGGGTATGCACTGGAGGCTAAGGAAAAAGGATGAACAGGGAACTGATGGAAAGAGCGAAAGCCCAAGTTCACAGAAGCTAGATGTTTGCAAATATCCCAATGTTGCTTTACTGTAGCCAAGAAGGGGGAAATAAAATGTAAATTTAAAAAAATTTGTTGAAGCAAAATTTAAAGGTGACATCCATTTGTAACGACCTGTTTATTTTGTTGAGAAATTTTGCCAATGAGAACATGTTTAAAACACTTGGAGTTTACAAACTTTTAACTGTCTTTAGAATATGAGATTGTTGGCAACCTGTTCTTTAAAAAAAAAAAAAAAGCATAAAACAAGGATTGAGAAGTGTATACTGGATAAAATGTCAGGGAGACAATTACACCTCAGTGCCAGGGGAAGAAAGACTAAACAATTAGTAGCAAAGGTCTCAATAATGGGAGACAACCTCCTCATCTTCCTTTCACATCTCAAGTTGGAAAGAGGAAGATGGGGAAGGGTGAGACAAAATAACCTGGTTATAGCATCTTGTTGAGTTAGGAGACCTGAGTTTGATGCAGCACAGTAGGGTTGGGAGTCAAGTGCTGCTCACAGCGTTTGAGGGTTAGGGAAAAGATGGCTGCAGGAGGCAAGAGTTAAGAGTTTCGCAGGGCTTCCATTGAGGCAGAATAAGGGACTAAGCCTTCTCTTGTAGCAGAGGGGACAATTCTACTTTCCCAGCAAGAAAGGGTCAAGGGTTGAGTAGAGTCTTCAGTAGGGCAGGGAAGTTGGGAGTTCCCCAACCTGTCACAGGATCCCAGCCAGGAACAGAGCAGAAACCCTGACCCTCCACTTCTTCATTCAGACAGGACTCATGGCAGCCATGGGTTACCTGGGAAGAGGTAGTGAACATCAGATCTGGGCATGCTGGTACCCATACTCTTAGACTGCACCTTATTTATATTCATATCACAGAGGCAATACCATAAAGCAAAAATGCCCCAAGTTCACATTATTCCTACCCATATCCTCTGACAACATCCACCCTCTTTCCTCCAACACTTACATCAAACAGTCCTGCTCCATGCTGCTGATAAAGTCTTGGATTGAGAAAGCCAAGAGGGGGGCGGCCATTGAGTATTCTGTGTTCATTTATCAAGGATAAAATTCCCCCAAACACTGGAGTAGAGGCCTGCAAGATGGAGATGCAAGAATAGGTCAGGGTTTCAGAGTTTTTAGACTTTTGAGGAATGATGCTTGCAAAGGTCAGAAGTCTAAGGAGTCAGGGGTTCTGGGTGCAAGATTTTATAGGTAAGGGATTGAGGGTAGTTCCTGCGTAGAAGTTTCAGAACCAAGATGATTCTCACCGAGGTTCCAGATACCCATGGAATGGGGACCTTGTTGCTGACTACCCAGTAGCCATCAGAAAGTGCAGCAACGTCTGGGTAGGCACCACCACTAGCATTGAAGTAACTAGATGGTGGTAGATGAGAGCTGGACTTCAAGAACTGGGCCACTGCTTCCTCCTGCAGGACATTTCTGAGTGTGAGTATTGGTCAGTAGCCAGTTCAGCTGACTGCTGGACTGAGGATCCTCACCCCACCCTCCATATATCCAATGAACATGCACAAACCTGGTATGAAGGCTGCGGGAAAACATTGCTGAAGCCTCCACCACTGATATAGTCAACTACTTCATTTGTGATGAGGAATGGATTCCTGAAGGAAGTGCCGCCTACTGTAGTGACGTAGGGGCTAAGGAAAAGACAGTATTCAGATAGTGGGTGACCCCCAAGATGTCTGGAGATGGGTGGGTATGGTCTGGGTCTTACTGGAAAAGGGAATAAGACTGTAAAAACCTGCATACAGGGTTTACTGAGAGACAGGTAAAGCTGAAGGCTGAGCCATAGCGGCACCTGGTGGGGTCAAAGTCACAAGTGAAAGATTTGAGGGGTGCTTACCTAGAAGCAGGGAAGCTAGGACGGAACTTGTGTCTTCCAGAGACAGACCAACACCCAGCTCCAGTGTCACCTGGGAGAGACATATTGAATATTCAGATTAGTTGGTGAGAGCTTGGGGTGTAGACTCATATGCCAGAGAAGAAATATAGGTGTCACCTCTTATTGCAGGTCAGGGTTTACAGGTCATGTCAGGCCCTGTTAAGGCTCTGAATTCCTACTATGAGTCAGAAACCAGGCTGAAGTGTCAGCTAGGGCAACATGTCCAGATTGGGTAGGTGGGAAGTCCAAGTTTAGGGTAGAAGGTTACCTGAGGCAAAAAGTAGGGTGAGACCCCGAGCAGCAGCCTTCATGAACTCGGTGTTGACTCTCTGGATGTAGATGCTGCTGAGGGAGTCTTCATCGTCTCCATAACTCACAGTATGTACATGTGGCAAGGTTGACTCATTGCTGAGAAGCAGGAGCCACTGCAAGAAGGGCTCCTGTGCCTCATGCCGGCCTGGATTGTTTTAAAAGAAGGGATACCAATGGTCATCAAAGAGTTGCTAGACTCTCCTTGAATCCCCTTGATAAAATGAAGCAGAGATCAACAGCCTACACCAACCCATTCCCCCCACCCCAACTAATTCTGTTAGTAATACCAGGGCTACTGTAGACCCAAGTGGAGATGTTGGCACCAGCACTCATCAGGTATTCCACGTCTAGACTGGCCTCGATCCCAGCTCGGCCTCGTCCCTGTTTTCCAACCACTCTGGCTACTGATGCCTGGTGTGCAAAATCGCCACCAAACAGGCGCATGAACTCAGTCAAATCTGAGTCATGGAAATACTGTTCCAGGAACTGTGGAAACAGTTAAATCAGGGGTCATGGATCAGAGAGTGGGCCCCAGGGTAGTAAGGCACTAAAGATATCTTGAGGAGGTTGTGAGGACCCCAGGGCTTTACATGGCTCACCTGGGCACAGGCCTGGCTATTATTGGTGGTGCCAGAGCCCACATCTTGTGCTGTCAGGTTGTATCGCCGACGGAGCACAGATGGAGTCACTCCCAGGTGAAGGCCAACAGTTTTTCCCCCCTGTGGCTCTGGCCGTTGTCTCAGAGATGATGTAGGAGGAAAACGGTGCAGTCCCCCTACTGTGGAAAGCAGTCAGGCTTAAGGAAGGTTTACAGATACTACCACTTACTCTACTACTGGCAACACCCTATGCCTCTTTGGCATCTAAACTTCAGCCTCTAGATCTGCCTTCCCCAACCTCCACCAACCCCATTGGGTTTACCAAAGTCCACATGAGGGGCCAAGGCCTGGGGGAGCTGGTAGGGATGTGGGGACCTTACAACATGGGTCTCTGTAGGTCCCCCCACATAGCGATGAAACTCAGCCCCAGGGAGCAGCAGCTCAGCCTGCCTGGAAGTCAGAAAATAGGAAGCATGGAGGGGAGCAGAAGTGGCCTGAGCCCCACTTACCAGCCAGTCATCTCCTCAGACATTAGCTATACCCACAGGCTCTCCACAAGCTTTCAACTTCCTCCTTTGGGGGCATTTTGTCTCTTTGGTGGGACAAATAACTCCATGGGGCAATCATTACTTCTCACCAGACACTCAGCCGGCAAGTCAGAAAGTCCTGTGTAGTCACTGAATGACAGTTCCGGGCTCCAGCTGCCAAAAGCCATTTTTGGACGGTGTGCAGGGTCAGTGGTGATGGTTGGACCAACTCAGATACATCTTCTAGGGTTAGGTACTTTCCTGCAGGGATTCAGAAGAGGATCTTGTCTTGATTAGTGGCTCTCTTGGGTTGCTTGTTTGGACCTCAGTCAGTAGACATCAAGACTTCCCAAGGAGGACTGTGCAGGTGATAGGTATATTGGAAGTCTAAGGGGAGAGAAGGCTGGAGAGACGTGGAATGTCACGGCCAGGAAATATGCACAGCATGCACTACCACAGTCACAAAAATTCAAGGAGGCTAATAAACTTTAAATGTCCCACTTTAAGCTTATCTTCAAAGAATTTTTTCCAAACTTTTGGAGCCAATTATACAGAACCATCTAATTTAGCTCAGATCTTCATACTTGTTGATTTTAAACAACATAATGTTAGTCATTCTTTCCTGCATGCAAGGAGCTACTTGGTTGACCTGAGGATGCCCCTCCCTCATCTCCATTCTTCCATTCTACACACACACACACACACACACACACAC